TTCGTAAAGAAGGAAGCTCCCAGAAAATAGTATCGAAATTGGAAACGAAAAATGGAAAATCCTCTTCATAAATAGTTTCCTTGTATTGGTCCAGTCGAGGTTTCACTTCGTTCATCAAAAAGCCTTGTTCCGACATATTGAAGAAGCTTATTAACATCTTCATGAGATGCTCATTAACAGGATAGTTGTGATGTTTGTTGACTTCGGCTAAGAAAAACACCAACTTCATGAAATTGGCTTTTGTAAACATCGCGCACCTTTTTGTTCTTTTTTTTGATGAATAAACATACTTCCGTATGCAATATAAAAATGACCACTCTTTCAAATCCCAATCGGACTTCATTGTTGATAAAACCTTCCGAATATAGACCAGATGCAGTAGTAACAGCAACGATACCCACTCCAGGAACAGACCCTACCTCCACTTCACCCTCTTCCTTCATTCAAAGAAGCAATGTCAAACGCTCGGTAACGCCTTCAAAAAAAACAAAAACAACCAAAAAGTCTATCAACAAGAGCAGCACTCCAGTTTCTCCCCCAAAAATACAATCGGAACCTACTTCTCATCCTAAACACCATTCTCCCGTTTCTCCACCAAAGATTCCAAACCAATCGTCGTCGTCTTCATCATCGTCTTCTCTCACTACAAAAACGCCTCCTTCTGGTGAAAAAAAAATACCAAATACTGTTCCAAAGAAAAAAGGAGGCGGAGGAAGCGCTGGAATTTGGCTAATCATCGCTATGCTCATCATCGCTGCATCGGCAGGGGGAGCTTATTACTACTTCTTCATCTACAAGTGAAAACCCTTTTACCGCAAGAACGCCTTTTAGAATAGAAACTATTTTCTGTCTGTACAACGACCAATCAATGCGGATGCTTGTATCGTCCAACTGAAAGGGAACAAGGCCTTTCTTAGGAGAAGAACAATAAACCATGGTCTCCATGTTTTTCCTCACAAGAACGTTTTTAATTTTTTTTTCTCTTTGGAAAACCTGCTCAAAGGTCTTACGAATCTCTTCTTCACTGGACCCTTGCAGGAAAAGCTGAAGACAAGAATCGCAGACAAGCTTTGCCAGTAAAAAAGGGAACCAAATTCCATAATAGACAACTCGATTTTGGTCTCTAGCCAATCCTACTGCTTTGGTTTTCGAGAAAACGCAAAAGCTAGAATACTTGGAGTCTGCCTCTTGGGAGGAATAAAAAAACACAAAGTTTTCAGTTGCAAAGACAAAACGACTTTCGAACTTTTGAGCTATTTTCCTATTTCTTAGCTCGATTAGTTCCGAAGCAGCGGACCTGCTGAGTACATCGCGAACTAAACCAGTGTAAAAAGTCTTCAAAGCAATAGTTGATTCTTTAGAACTTTGAAGGTATTCAACTGCCTGTTTTAGCAAGTCGTCATCGTCGTTTTCCTTATCTAATGACCTTTCAAAGATAGTCTGATTAAAGAAAGCAGTAGTGCTCTCGACTCCTACATTGTGGTACAAGCCAGGACGAAAGCGGAGTCCGACTGTCCAACAAAAGCTATTAGGATACATTTTTCGGCTGGGTCGAAATTTGACCCACCATTGGTTCGAAAAACCCAACTGTCTTAGAAGTTTCCAGGTTAGCATTCCAGGAGACCTAACTAGAATCTCGTCCAGAGAACAACGAAAGACATTGCATAAACTCCGGGTTCTTTTCCACACATTCAACTCATCGAATAATGCGAGACAACTTTCGCAGTCTCTTACGCAATAGCTTGCTACCTCGTTCCAAACTTTTGAATCTTCAGTAGTAAATGCTAGAAAGATGTTCCAAAATGGAACATCTAGCTTCCAGCAATTCGAACTCAACCACCTTTTGGACGCAGAGTCTAGCGATAAAGAGTAGGAACTTTCATCCACTGAGTGAAACAGCCTTAGAAATTGAAACACATCCAGCACTGCTCTTCCAGGAATCGAAACGATGCGAAGGTTTTTTGGACCAACTGGACGAACTGAAACAAGAGCATGAGAGAGTCTGCTCAGCACATTTAGGGAAAGGCCGTTTTTACGACATCGACTTGCCAAGTAAGGCCAATCGAACTTTGACCCGTTGAAAGTGAGAAGGACATCCGGATCTAAACAATTGATTTGCTGAAGGAAAGCTTCGATGAGGCTTCTTTCATCGTCGAAAAGAAAAGCCATGAAATGATCAGCTGCGATTTTGAGATTGGAATTCAAGGCAAACAACCATCTTTGCAAGTCGCACTCATTAGAAGCGCGAAAACAAAGTCCAATTTGAAAGATCACGCATTCATCCTGCGTGGGATCGGGAAATTTGGACAATTGGGGGCTGAAGCATTCCAAATCAAACGACGCCACTGAAACTCGGTTGTTCGTTTCATCAAAAATACTTTCAAATCCTTCGGCGATGCACGCGGTTTCGAAGCAAGAAAAGAAAGAAAGCCCATTTTTTCTAGCTTCATAGAGGCTTGTTTTTTCTTTCTGAGCTAAACAATGTGAAAATTTATGCAAGCTAGCTGCGGAAAAAATGCGGCATTTTTTTCCGGCGTTCGTTTTTTTCCAGTATTCTATCTGTAAAGGTCCGTGAACAACTGGAGTTGATAGTCGGTCGGAAAAAAAAGAATGGAGGTAGCACCCGATAACTTGTCGGTTTACCAGTTCCGACATCTAAAAATGAACAACTCTTTTTTCGTATTCTTCTTGATTACCACCTTTTTCTTATTTCTTGTAGGTTCTTTTGCGTTGGTGAAATCACAGCAAAAATTGGAGAAACGAATCGGACATTTCGATGCAGATGGCAGTGCAGTAGATGACGAGCTTAAAAGTTGGTTTGAATGGAACTCTTCCATTAATACTAATGACGAAGTTTATCGTTTTCTGTTTGCTTTACGGAGATTCGTGTACCATCCTGATAATTATTCCTATGCTTATATCAGTTGGGATTCAGGAAAACAAACGTTTCTTTCTAGAAATAAGGCTCGATGTATTCTCCGTTCATACGATAGGCCTTTCATTTTCGTACCCGAATCTAACATCACCGTTTCCCAAATGCTTCGAGTTCCCAGAAAACCGGTGCTTACAGGACACTTTCCGTTGAAAGAGTCTCTTGTAGCTTGGCCTCCTTTAGCTTTGGAAGACTCTTCTATTAGGACGTCTCTTGACCATGTTGGAAATTGGAGTCCTGTAAAATTCGGAAGTGAATCGGCATCGTCATTATACGATTGGAGTTAAAAAGTGATGCTTCCTTACAAATTTTACTGCGTAGCCATTCCGGAAAGGAAGAAGAGAGCAGAAGAAAGACTCTCCAGAATTCAAGTTCCTTTTGAAATGATAGAAGCGGTGCGATGGAACTCTCCTTTGGTACGATGGTATTTTGAAAACCAAAAGCCTACCAAATTTGAAAGAGAAAGCTCGTTGAAAGAAGTTGCCTGTTACCTTTCTCATTTGAAGGCATATCGAAGATTCCACGAAGAATTTGACCATGTGAAGACAGCTGTAATTTGTGAAGATGATGTGGTTTTCTTAAAAAACCGGGAAGCGCTGCACAGAAGACTTGCAGAGGCAGTTGATGAACTTTCGACCAATCGACGAAGACGCATTTTTCTAGGATACGTGAATTTTCACTTGCAGAAAGAACTGAGCCATGAATTTGTCAACGTTCACTATCAAAGAATATACGGGACTCAAATGTACATCATTTCGAAGGAACAGTGTCGGGAAACGCTCAAAAAATACGACCGACCTCTTCGTTATTTAATTGGAGACTCATTTACAAGTGAAAGCTTTCTTCATTTTGACAACGGATTTTTCTTTTTCAGAAATTAAAGAAGAAAAATGCTTTGCATGACCATCCCGAAAATGAAGCCAAACACGACTCCTAATAAAAAAAAGTAGACAGTCCTCATAAGATGAACACCGTTTTAGAAAGGTTTTATTATTATCAGGGGACTATCAAATAGCAGCAC